GCTCCGCGTGTACAACCACCTCACGGCCCCGCGGCTCCGCGTGCACTCCCACCTCACGGCCCCGCGGCTCCCCGTGTACGACCACCTCACGGTCCCGCGGCTCCGCGTGCACGACCACCTCACGGTCCCGCGGCTCCGCGTGTACTCCCACCTCACGGTCCCGCGGCTCCGCGTGTACAACCACCTCGCGGCCCCGCGGCTCCCCGTGTACTCCCACCTCGCGGTCCCGCGGCTCCGCGTGCACTCCCACCTCACGGTCCCGCGGCTCCGCGTGTACTCCCACCTCACGGTCCCGCGGCTCCGCGTGTACTCCCACCTCACGGTCCCGCGGCTCCGCGTGCACGACCACCTCACGGCCCCGCGGCTCCGCGTGCACGACCACCTCACGGTCCCGCGGCTCCGCGTGTACTCCCACCTCACGGTCCCGCGGCTCCGTGCACGACCACCTCACGGCCCCGCGGCTCCGCCGGCGGCCACCTCACGGTCCTGCAGCCAGGGAGGAGGGAACCTGGCCCTGCCGGTCCCTGCAGGAACACGGAGGCACCCCTGAAAGTACAGACGAGTCCCTCCCATCCGGGCCCGAGCCCCAGCGCTGCGTGGCGTCTGCGTGGGGACAGTCCTCACTGGCAAGTCCAGGACCACCTGCTGCTCGGGGTGGACCAAGCGACCTCTCACCCCGGCCCCCGGCAGTCTAGGGCTCTCCTTCCTAGAACCCTCGTTCACCCCAATTCCTCCCCATCTGCTGAGAATACACTGAAGAGGCCGACGCTCTGTCTTAGCAAATGGCCTCAGTCCGTACGTGGCCTTGTCCCCAACCCCGTCATCTCCCGGTGACGGCCATCCCCACCTAACTTGTCTCCAGCACTACGGTCATCTCTTAAAAACACAGATCACATCACACCCCTGCTTCAGACACTCCGCTGGCGTCCCATTAAACGCAGGTGAAATCTCAGCTCCTGACCCTGACCGGCGAGGCTCCCTGTGATGGGCCATCCCGCCGCTCACGCTCCCTGCCCCAGACGCCACCATCTGCCCCTTCAACATGCCCAGCTGGTTCCTGCCTCAGAGCCTTCGGGACTCATCGGGGGAAGCCTGCCGTTCCCTCCGCCGAGACGGTTCCACCCAGATCTTCCCAGGGCCGGCTCCTGCTTGTCTGGGCCTGAGCCGGGAGAGGCCCCCAGGCCGCCCGCTAGGAGCTCCGCGTTAATTCAGCGGTGTCCTCGGGTGCCTAGTGCTGCTCCATGTTTAGTCGTTTGTCTTCTCCATGCCCCGAGCCCTGGAAAGTCGTCTCCACCACAGGGTGGACTTTGTCTCGTTCGCGGCGTCGCCACACCCGGAGCAGGGCTTGCACACGATGGGCTATTGTTTAAAGAACGAGTGACTATGAATGAACGAACGACACCACCTTCTCCAAGAAGTTAGAGTGACCCTCCGAAGCCCCCAAATGCCCACCATCCAGCGGCCCCACACCCTCTCCTCCCACCTCAATCCTGGAACAAGCCCCTCAGAAGCTCAAAGCCTCCCCCGCCTCATGGCAGGACCCGTAGTCCCACCTCCGCTGGCCTTCGGCTGCTGAACACCAAGAACCATTTGCAATGGAAACACCCAGACCAGCCCAGAGCTCCAGGACAGCATGGGGGCCACCTTCAGCTGAGGCCCCTCCCCGGGACAGTCACTGCTGCCTCAGACATGGCTCCAAGGGGCAGCTGGATTAACCGTGAACAGCCAGACCAGCAGCAGCCTCTGTGGCCACAGGCCCTGGATGGTCGCAGGGAAAGAAGGCCGGGCTTCCTGGACCTTCACGGTCCCCTCTATCTGGACTATCTACCGCAGGCCAGGCTCTGTGCCTCTCCACAGTCCCCTGTATCTGGAATATTCACAGCAGCTGTGGGGTTGAGAGACAGAGGAGGAAATAGACTGCCAGGTCCCGTTCTGCCAGGCAGGAGTCACTGCCCGAGTCCTGGAAGTCGGCCATTCCCAAGCCTGTGTCCCCCACCTCCACTGACCTGTAGTCCCCGTCCCACCTCCACTGACCTGTAGTCCCCGTGTCACCTCCACTGTCCTGTAGTCCCCGTCCCACCTCCACTGACCTGTAGTCCCCGTGTCACCTCCACTGACCTGTAGTCCCCGTCCCACCTCCACTGTCCTGTAGTCCCCGTGTCACCTCCACTGTCCTGTAGTCCCCATGTCACCTCCACTGTCCTGTAGTCCCCGTCCCACCTCCACTGACCTGTAGTCCCCGTCCCACCTCCACTGACCTGTAGTCCCCGTGTCACCTCCACTGTCCTGTAGTCCCCGTCCCACCTCCACTGACCTGTAGTCCCCGTGTCACCTCCACTGACCTGTAGTCCTCGTCCCACCTCCACTGTCCTGTAGTCCCCGTGTCACCTCCACTGTCCTGTAGTCCCCGTGTCACCTCCACTGTCCTGTAGTCCCCGTGTCACCTCCACCGACCTGTAGTCCCCGTCCCACCTCCACCGTCCTGTAGTCCCCGTGTCACCTCCACCGTCCTGTAGTCCCCGTGTCACCTCCACTGACCTGTAGTCCCCGTGTCACCTCCACTGACCTGTAGTCCCCGTCCCACCTCCACTGTCCTGTAGTCCCCGTGTCACCTCCACTGTCCTGTAGTCCCCGTGTCACCTCCACTGACCTGTAGTCCCCGTCACCTCCACTGTCCTGTAGTCCCCGTGTCACCTCCACTGACCTGTAGTCCCCGTGTCACCTCCACTGACCTGTAGTCCCCGTGTCACCTCCACTGACCTGTAGTCCCCGTCCCACCTCCACTGTCCTGTAGTCCCCGTCCCACCTCCACTGACCTGTAGTCCCCGTGTCACCTCCACTGTCCTGTAGTCCCCGTGTCACCTCCACTGTCCTGTAGTCCCCGTGTCACCTCCACTGTCCTGTAGTCCCCGTGTCACCTCCACTGTCCTGTAGTCCCCGTGTCACCTCCACTGTCCTGTAGTCCCCGTCCCACCTCCACTGACCTGTAGTCCCCGTGTCACCTCCACTGTCCTGTAGTCCCCGTGTCACCTCCACTGTCCTGTAGTCCCCGTGTCACCTCCACTGACCTGTAGTCCCCGTGTCACCTCCACTGTCCTGTAGTCCCCGTGTCACCTCCACTGACCTGTAGTCCCTGTGTCACCTCCACTGTCCTGTAGTCCCGGCCCTTCGCAGGGCTGAAGAAGGAGCCAGCAAAGCCTGACACCTATGTCCCCATCATCCCTCCAGTATTCTTGGACCAGTTAATCCACATTCCTCAGCCCAATTTACCACATATGACAGAACAGGAGAAAAAAATTGACCACAGCTGTGATCCTGGCTTCCCTACTTATTACTGGGCAGATTAACCTCACTGCACCTCTGGTTTTCTCATCCCGCTTTTGAGTGCTCCTGAAAATGCCCTCCAGGTTGCCAACAGCCTCCATGATCCACGTCCATGTTCATTTATTTTGACTTCTCCATCTTTCCCGGTCCTCTCAGCACTTCCCACCCCACCCCATCCTCCATCCTCCATCTTCCGTCCTCTGTTATTTCTTCCCAGGATTTATTATTTCCTGAAATCATCTTGTTTATTTGATCATTACTTGTTTTTTAGTTCCCTTGCCCAATATCATCTCAAAAAAGTTCCTTCTCTGTTCTTCTTCAGTATAGTGACTCAAGTCCTAAAGCCACGACTAGGCCGGGCGTGGTGGCTCAAACCTGTAATCCCAGCACTTTGGGAGGCCGAGGCAGGCGGATCACCTGAGGTCAGCAGATCGAGACCAGCCTGGCCAACATGGCGAAACCTCATCTCTACTAAAACTATAAAAATTAGCCGGGTGTGGTGGCGCACGCCTGTGATCCCAACTACTCGGGAGGCTGAGGCAGGAAAATCACTTGAACCCGGAAGGCGGAGCTTGCAGTGAGCCGAGATTGCACCATTTGCACTCCAGCCTGGGTGACAGAGCGAGACTCTGTCTCCAGAAAGCAAAAACAAAAGAAAACTTGAGTAGTACATGGAAGTTACTTGAGGATGGGTTCCAGAAAAACTAAGGTGAGCACAAAAAAGAGGAAGACGTGGTCTCCTGAGAACAGTGTTTCTAACCTGGGAGGCAGCAAAGAGAACTCCCATTGTAACAGCCATGCAGCTCCCAGCCTAGGAGGAGCAGGAGTGAGAATCCAGAAGGGTTTATGCCAGGAAAAAAAAAACAGCCTCCATGTAATTGTAAAATCGAGATGTTAACTAATCTTGAGGATTAGAAGGCACATTATTCTCTCAACAATAAGAAAAAGGCAAGTCGAAACTCCAGGAAAAACTAAAAGTTATATTTAAAAAGTCCTAGATTCAATATGAAACCATTTAATATGTGGCACAATTCAGTATAAGGAGAAAATCAGTTTGATCTCCCTGCAAAGATCGTTCTTCTTTGAGTAACCGGGGATCAACAGAAGCAGGCCAGTAGGATGGAAAGTGCCATCCTGGCACACTGTTTGGCCTTGAGGAAAATAGGATGTATCTAATAACAACTGAAAACATGTTTTTCTTGTTGACTTAATATATTCTGGAGATAACATTTATTGAGTGCCTATGTGCCAGGCAAGGTTTGAAGAGTTTTGCATTTAGGAATATTTAATCCTCTGAGCATGGTGAGGTGCATGGCATCATGACCACATTTTACAGATGAGGAACATCAGGTGTGAGATACTAAACGAGTTTTCTGAGGTCTTAGCAGAAGAGCTAGATTCGCACCCTGACTTCTAACGCCAGCTCTGGGTCTCGTGGCCTGGGCGTGAATCTAGCAGAAGGGCTGGAAGGTACATCCACGCGATGAGACCCAGAGCTGGCCCTAGACGTCAGGCCATTTGATTTTTAAGTCTTGGTCCTTCTGGCCAAGAGGCAGAGGACACCACACGCCCAACGCAGACGCACACACTCCTGGGAGCCAGGATGCAAAGCCACAGAGCACCAGGGCGGGTCCAGGCTGGGATGCCGGAACGGCAGGGCCAGAGCAGGGTCTTACCTTCCTGCAGTCTTTGCAGAACACCGACGAGCTGCCCAGGAAGCCCAGCACCTCCCCACAGAGCAGGCACTGGGACAGGCCATTCCCCATCACGTTCCGCCTCATGGTCTCCAGCCGCTCCACCAGCCGCCTGCGGCACAGGACACAGAGTCAGAGGGAACGTGCTTCCCGCCTGGGCGCAGCTGCCACCGAGGCCCAAAACCGTACCGCGCCACATGTGCTGTCCCCCACCCGGGAGGTTGTTCCTCGCACTTCCCTGGCTCACTGCGAATCCTTCGTTCACTCACCAACTATTCACTGAGCACCTGAGTCATCAGACATGGGGAATATCGTAGCAAACACGCGAGAGACACACATGGTCCCTGCTCTCATGGAACTTGCCTTCAATAAGGAAGGAAATTCATAAGCAAGAAAACAAGCAAACTGATTTCAGATAGGGAGATGAAATGGAAATAGTGGCGGGAGGGAGAGGGATTGCAGGGAGGGCAAGAGAGACTGAGGGGAGGGGAGGGGGAGGGAGACTGAGGGGAGAGAGGGTGAGGGAGATTGAGGGTGGGGGGTTGAGGAAGATTGAGGGGGTGTGAGGAAGATTGAGGGCAGGGAAGGCAAGGGAGATTGAGGGGAGAGAGATTGAGGGAAAGAGGGTGAGGGAGACTGAGGGGAGGGAGGGCGGGGGGGCGAGGGAGATTGAGGGGAGGGAGACTGAGGGGAGGGAGACTGAGGGGAGGGAGACTGAGGGGAGGGAGATTGAGGGGAGGGAGACTGAGGGGAGGGAGATTGAGGGGAGGGAGACTGAGGGGAGGGCAAAGGAGATTGAGGGGAGGGAGATTGAGGGGAGGGCAAGGAGGCGAGAGAGATTGAGGGGAGGGAGATTGAGGGGAGAGAGGGCAAAGGAGATTGAGGGGAGGGAGGGCGAGGGAGACTGAGGGACAGTGGCATGTTCCATGGGGACCAGCGAAGGCTCTCGGAGAACAGGTGGACTCACAGCTGAAGAATGAGCCATGCCATCTGGCCTGTTTTTCCCACTGTAAAGACAGGAAGGCCAGACACGGTGGCTCACGCCTGAAATCCCAGCCCTTTGTGAGGCTGAGGCAGGCGGATCGCTTGAGCCCAGGAGTTCAAGACCAGCCTGGGTAGCATAGTGAGACCCCCATCTCTACAAAAAACAAAAAAAAAGCTGGGTGTGGTGGTGCCCTGGTACCCACCCGCGGTTCTAGCTACTTAAGGCTGAGGTTGGGGGATCGCTTGAGCCCAGGAAGTTGAGGCTGCAGCGATCCGTGATCGCACCCCTGCACTCCAATCTACACGACAGAGTGAGACCCTGTCTAAAAAAAAAAAAAAAAGAAAGAAAAGAGAAAGAAAAAGAAAAGAAAAGATGAAGATACGTAGAAGGCAGCAGAATGAAATCGATTCCCGCCCAGCGCATTTTTTCTTCCTACTTGTGCTTTTCTGTGGTTTTCAGATTTTCCAGGAAATAAGAATTTCTTTTGTAATTAAACAAACACAGGACACGATGAAAGTGCTGGAAGACTGAGCTGTGGTGGGCGCTGGAGTCGGAGGCCGGGAGCGGCTCCTGCGGGAGCTTTCGAGGGCGACCCGAACCCTCCCTTGGCTGAACCACAGCTGACCCGCAGGTGCACAGAGCCGAACAGCCCCCGGGGCGCTTCACCACGCTCATTCGCGCCCACAGCCGGGGCGCACACCCCAGCTGCTAGCGCCGTCTGACAGACCTATCCTGAGGCCTCAGCAGGCTGAGTTACACTCCAGGGTGTTGAGGCAGAGCCAGTGACCTCCTGACCCCTCCCAGAGGTGAAATGCAGCACCAGGACGCAGCGTGCCGGCCTCCCAGTGCCCTGTGCTTGCACCAAAGCCCTTGCTGTCCTCCCACTGAGCTGGCTCCGGCCCCGCCTCACCCAATTCTCTGCTGCTCCAGGACGTCCAGCCGCTCGGCCCTCTGGATGACCTGCAGGATGGCCTCCACCTCCGCCGGGCTGAGGTGCTGGTTCCTTCTCTGCTTCTCCGTCTGGTAGGTGTGCACAGACCAGCCCGTCTGCAGCCTCGAGAGGGAGTAACAGACGGCGTTGAGGCCTCCCCGGTGCAAACTCCCGCAGCCCCTACCACATCCACCAAGCCCTCCTGAGCACAGTCAGTGGATGGCCCTGGTGCTACGTGCCGGGGGCGAGGAGTGCGGGCAACACAGATGGGGCAGACACAGGCTCCAAGCACCAGCCCTGCCATCCGCCGGCTCCTGGGCCCTGGCAAAGACGGCAGCACCATCTTAGCCCAGGAGGCAGAAACACGGAATGTGACCCTCAGGGACACACAGAAGGCCAAGGTCACGGCACGTGAGGGTCAAGGGAGGAGCAGGAGAGATGACCAAGAGAAGAAAAAGGGAGCTCCCAGCTCCGTCAGGTGGTGACACGGAGTTTACCAGGGGACAGGAAAGGAATGTAATTAGGGTAAAGACACAGCTGTGGATATGAACACCCTGAAAACTGGCAGGTTCAAGGCAAGAGGGGAAAGCGAGTTTCGCCAGAGGAGCTATGGTGAGGGCAGGCAACGGCGAGGCCGGGCTGGGAGTGGGTCCGGAGGCTGAGCTGTCCGCTCCACTGCGCTGCAGGGGTGGTGCCTCCTGAGGCTGTAACTGGGGCGGGGGAAGGACTCAAACTCCTTCTATTTTTCTGGTCAGGGAGAGAGCGGCAGCAGCAGATCAAACCGCAGAGCCCCTGCCCTGGGTGGGCACCAGCTTCCGGGAGACACTCCGTGCCTGTGACATCGCCGTGTGCAGAGATGAATGAGACGGGAAAAGCCACTGCACCCTGAAGAACTGCAGTATGGTGGGGGAGGCAGATGCCAAACCAATGACTCAGAGACCTATTTAACGAACAGGTGTGAGGCGTTTTCATTCAACGCATTATAAAGCACCGGGTGGGACTCCCGGCCTCTTGGGCGCAGGGACGCGCTGCTTGGTGGGACGTGCGGGTGGCGGCAGGAAGTGGACAAACAAGAGAGTTACCCGGCAGGGAGGGGATGGGGCTCTGGAAAGGCTGCTTCTTTCTTTCTTTAGGGAAGTGTCAGAAGAGTCCTGGAGGCAGGACCTAGAGCAGCTGAGGGAGGCGGACCCTCTCCTGGGGTCTCCCTGACATAAGACAGGCCCCCCGTGGTCTCATGACCTAGGGCAGCTGAGGGAGGCGGACCCTCTCCCGGGGTCTCCCTGACACAGGATGGGCCCCGGTGGTCTCATGTCTTGCCTGGTCCCGGCTGTTGCAGCGAGGTGGGCCCAGACCCTCCATCACCCCAAGAGGCAGGCCTGGACCCTCACCGTCACCCTACAAGGCAGGCCTAGACCCTCAGTCACCCTTCGAGGCAGGCCCAGACCCTCAGAGTTGCCCTGTAAGGCCCCGGCCCTCAGCCACCCTGCGGGGCAGGCCTCCCGTTTCTCAGAGGAGATGGGGGGTGGAAGGTAGCCGGCTAGCAGGAATCTGGGGTTGGCCGCCTCCACCGCTGACTCAAGGCCTGAACACTGACCTGCGGAGTTCACACCCAGCAGCTGCTGACAGTCCTGCCTGGCAGCATTTCGGGCTCCCCCAGGGCCTCCTCTGCGCCCAGGTTCCTACCTCCATCCGCTCCACCTCCTGGCCCCAGCCATCCGCGTCCTCTCATCTGACCTGCTGCTCCAGGCCCTGACTCCCGCCTACGGCCACAGCTCCACTGAGCATGCTGCCCACCCCCCTCGCAATGCCCCTTCCACACGGCCGGAGGAGGAGGCGGCCAACCTGAGGGCACCTGACATCGATGGGCAGCAACCTCCAGGAAGAACCTGCACGTCTGGGAGCCCCGCCTGTCATTCCCCGCACGTTCCCCGCACAGCGCCCTCGTCTCTCGGCTCACCTGGCCTCTCCAGTTGCTCCCTCGTGTTCTAGGCTGCGTGCAGTCCCCAGGCCTTTGCTCATGCTGCCCCCTTCACCGGGGGCACCTGTCTCTCTCCCTAAACCCTCTGTCCACCTCTCACTCCTATTCTGTCTGTGTATCTATCTGTCTATCTGTCTGTTTATCTATCCATCTGTCTATCTATCTATCATCTGTCTCTCTATCTCTCCATCTATCATCTATCCATCTATCATCTATCCATCTATCATCTATCTATCTATCTGTCTATCTATCTATCCATCCATCCATCCATCCATCTATCTTGAGACGGAGCTTCAGTCTGTCGCCCAGGCTGGAGTGCAACGGCACAATCTCAGCTCACAGCAACCTCCACCTTCCGGGTACAAGCGATTCGCCTGCCTCAGCCTCCCAAGTAGCTGGGATTACCGGCATGCACCACCATGCCCGGCTAATTTTTATATTTTTAGGAGAGAGGATTTCACCATGTTGGTCAGGCTGGTCTTGAGAACTCCTGGCTTCAGGTGATCCACCCACCTCAGCCTCCCACAGTCCTGGGATTACAGGCGTGAGCCACCGTGCCCAGCCTATTCTTTCTAAAGACTTCTTTACACATGACCTTCACCTGGAGGCTTTTCCTTGATCCAAAACAGGTAAAGAATCCACTCAGAGTTCCTGGAAGGCCTGGGTGCATGTCCTTCACTGGGCTGATACATTATTAGGAGACAACATGAAACCCCCCATCTCCCCTCCAGAACGTGAGTCTCTGGAGGACCAGGCCCTGCCCCTGGCCCCTGCCTATCTCTCCGTCTTCCCTCCACACTGTCCAGCCTTCACACTGTGCACTCGCAACACACTGACCTCTGGCCAGGGCTCCACTTGCCCCGTTCCTTCTACCTCGGGGCCTTCGCACGTGCTGTTCCCTCTGCCTGGAAGCGCGTCCCTCCCACTGCCGTCTAACGTTGCCCCATCGTCTGGGTCTCAGTGGAGGCCGCACACTCTCAGGGAAGCCCCTCCTGATCTCGACTAGGCTACACCTTCACCCACGTCCCCACTGCCTGTTGTCACCATCAAAGCAACTTACCTAACTATTCAAATAATGCCCGCCTCTGCCCACCTGTGCTTTAAGACCAGGGACCGTGTTGGTCCTGTTCACTGCTGTGCAGTCAGTGCCTGGCACGTAGCAGGGGGTTAGAAAATGTCTGGTGGCGGCTGGAGGACTGAGGAGAGCCCCGAGCTGCA